TTCTAATCCCTGACGGAGCCGTTGCAGATTTGAGTTGCTAGCGAAATAGGCGTCGCCAGAACGAAACTCCCATAAGCCATCAAGAGCTTTATGGAATTTTTCCTCGGAGCCCTTGTAGGATCCAGGTTATAGGGTTCGGATGACTCTGCGAGTTTTCCTCGAGGCAAATTCTAAAGCCGAACTCCTAAGCCCTTATAAGAAAAACAACTTGTGCCGAATCTAAGGCTTCAGGTGCAGAGCAAGGGCGAAATGAAAGCAGCTGCGGTTGCCTGCGGTCTTTGAAGCGTCTGAATAGACTGAAAGCGAGATTCGCGAGCTAGGGCTTGACAAGTCGTTGTTATCAGAAATAGGGATGCAGCGGGGTAGTCGAGGGAATTCCAGATCTTTATAGAGCATAAGTTTATGATTTGGTCGGGTTTCGCAGTATGTCTTACGGTCTTATGCACTTGCACAGGGTTTCGGATTCGGAGATTTCCCAGCATATGAGTGGTTGTCAAAATTATGGTCCCTTATTAGGTTCCTAACATAATATGGCACCGACTATTCAAGGTAGCGAAAAAGGGACGCTAATTTTGGCAACCACCCATATTCAAGGAATTTACTCTAGATTATGTGGGGACACCTGGCATGGTGAAAGAAGTAGAAGGAGGGAATCGCTTGCTGCACAGAAAGAGCCGAGCTGACTTTGGATGCTCTTGCGGTGCAGTCCCTTGCGCATGAAGGTTTCTGATGCAGACGTGTGTGGATTTAAAAGCTTCGGCACGAGTAACTAATTCCAGTGAAAGTAGCAGAAGTCAGGAGCAAGCCAAAAAAAAACAGAATTGAGAGTGCTGTCCTACGTGCCCGGCCGGCTTTTGCAGCCTCTCGAAAGTGAGCACAAGTTAGCCTCCGCATCGGCGGCTGGTCATGCAGACGCTCTAGAGCATGTCTTGCAAGGGAATAGCGTCATTTGTTCTGAGTCTAGTCGCGATTACCCCCCGATAAGCAGAGCAACTTTCGGGTATGGATAATCATCTCTCTGTGTCTCTGCCTCCGAATTAACTTGCATGGATGCGTGATTCCCAAGACAGAGGTTGGGCTTGATTTGGGTTTTGCAGTCAGAAGCTGTTGAACTCCTGCGATGTGGCTTTCCGGCTTTAGTGATGTTGATGTGGTTGCAGATAGGAGTTCGGTGTTCAACTCGCAGGGATGCCTCCAAGGGCAGCAACAGTCGAAGTTATGGCGACTTGACACATAATAGGCTTTAGGCAGGACTGCTAAGTGAGATGCAGTGTAGCTTGCATCGGTGGGCCCGCTTGTCTTGTAGAGGAGCTTCAGAAGACAGTGTTCCGTCTGGGCCTGACGGCTTAGTAATGTTGAAAAAGACTTTGTAAATAACAACTTTCCTTAATTAATTCACAGATATCCGATAATTATGGATGTCGTATGATTTCGTGCTTGGTTCTGTTATTCATTCCTCTAGTCCGGCCATGCAACCACAGCAAATTGTGGTGAGAATCCTGAGTCATGCATGGGGAAACGGCGTGTTTTATCACCACCATAGATTCCAAGTATAGGTTCGCCGATCAGAGGAGCACCTGTCAATCACTCGGCCAGCCGTTGAACAGAAATCAAAGTGGAGAGTGCGCATTACGTTTCCTGAATTTGTTTGTGATATCTGAGTTTGCTTTCTCACAAAGACAAGGAGGTGTCAGTGGTTGAAGTTAGGCCTTCAGACAATCTAGAGGAAAAGCGAGGGCGGAAATGTCGTGGAATACAGTCTGGGTGTATTCGGAAGGTAAAAAACCCAGTGAGTGCCTTGAGCAAGTAGGCTGTGGTGAGGGATGTGTGCATGTTCAAACCTGCTATGTCCAACCCGGGCAGGCGCTTGTGATACGCTTGAAGTCGAACTAGAGCGCATCATGGATGGCGAGCAGGGCAGCGAAGGCATGCCAGGGGTGTGCTCGTGCGGAAACAGATCGTAGGCCACAATGGACCGAGCCGTGGCGAAGTAAAAGCTTCTAACCGTACGTAGTGTGGAGCGCACCAGATGAGCGGAATGCGAATGCTAGAATTCGGTGAAACGTAACCGCTTGCAATGCAGGCATACGTGGATGTACCGATGAAGAACTGTCCAGTGAGCTTAAAGCGTGGATGGCACGCTTTACCTCGACATTGGAAAGGGCCTTGCAGGACCCAAGCTTGCTGGTGCCAAACATAGCGGGCTTCGAAGCAGCTCCAATGAGTCAACTTGGCCCCTTACATTGTCATCGCCGGCCAAATGCAGATCCAGCAGAGCGCGTGCAGGCAGCGACGTCGTCGTCCCAGACAGACGGCATTGTGGGCGCATGGTGTCCAGATTGGCTGTCGCTAGATTTTATGTCGAGCGGCCTGTCTTTCACACGCGACGAGCAACAGTCAGACACTTCCATGGCCGGCGAGATGCAGGCCTTCCGGGAGAAGGCGCGTTGCTCGCGTGCTGCGAATGAGCTCTGAGAAGAGTGTGCAATGTAATAGCAGAGATTGTCGCAGAAATGGTTGTATAAAGGAGATCAGATAACACAGGGAGCAAGTGGATGAGATAGCATGAGAGACAATGCATGGGACATATGTTGTTCATGCGCGGTGAGTAGCAGGTTATCTGCATAGGAGAAGCTCGTTGAGTCAAGGCGGCTGTCTATGTCTATGTCGTCGTGTGTTATCATCTGTGACGCTTGATTCCGTCCCTATCATCATGTTGGTCATCATCATAATCTTCATCCTCATCCTCCTCCTCACCACCATCATCATCATCATCATTCCTACCATCATCATCATCATCAGTGTTATAATCACTAATATAAGGGCCGACGACCATGGTCGACCGACATATGATGCTCTGGGGCGAGCTGTCCGACCAAGGGGAGGTTGAAAGATGAAGATAAAGCAAGGCGGGCCAGACTTGTAGAGCGCGCAGGAGACAGATTGCGGGACAAGCGTGAGAGGCGAGAGATTCTGGCCCAAGCACAGCAGGCAAACAGGATGCTTGAGTAGGGATGTTAGGATGTCTTTGCTTATTATTGTTGGGAGGGTGAATCATGGTCTACCGCGTCTGAGACAGTTTGCGGAGCAAGCATAAGAGACGATGAGAATCGTCCGCGGATCTGCAAATGGGGTGGAAGATCCTGTAAGACCGAGATTGTGGGACTAGGACCACAGTAAGAAGCGAGCAGGGTTGGTGGAAGCTTTGCTTATTGGGGGATGGTAGAACCCTAGAGCGCGCAAGAACGAAAGAGACGCTTGAAAAAAAGAGACAGAGAGAAGGAGAGAAAGAGAGAGAGAGAGAGATAGAAGGAGTGAGATATTGGAGGAGTGGGGCATAAGGCGCGCAGGAACTGATTAAGAGATGTGTCTGCTTGTTAGGGGGATGGTAGAAAGTGTAGGGGAACTTTGGAGCAAGAAAAAAGTGCTTATGGTGGAAGCCGGAAAGTTGGAACGCATGCATAGGAGCAAATGGCCCCAAACCGCATGTTCCGATGTTTATCTCGGAGCCCAAACTTGGAAGACTGTCTGAAGGACCCCAAAGTCCGAAGCTAGCCTTGGAATATTATTGGCCTGGGATGATGCTTTTGATGCAAAAAAACGGTGCTTTTTGAAGGCACCGCGCAGGGCCGTATTTGCCCTGCGGTTTTTGATGTTCGTCTAGAAATTTCCCCGTACGTAGACTCCAGATTTCCCTAAACCCCCATATTATTACATATTTTGTTTTGATTGCGGGACCGGAGAAAAGGGCCGCAGGCTCTAAGGCCCTTGGTCCTGGGGCTCCCGCCGCCTTAGCTTTTTTGTTTCATGCCACGATTTTGTAAGGCTGAGGCGGGGGAGCTCTGCTGTAACTACATAGAAAAACTGGCCCGAACTGAATGCTGTGTAACATTTTTAAAACTTGAAATAGGTGAGCCCGGCCTGTGAAGGCCCTGGGCGCCCCCCGGTAGGCAGCGCCGGGTAACCAATTGCGCAGAGGTTGATTTTACGTGTCTAGGCGGCATTCAGTTGGGCACCCTAATCCCGTAACCCTGGCCAGAAAATTATTCTGATGCTCTTGGTTGCTCAATAGCTCTTGAAGTGCACACGCCCCCCAACACCCCGACTGTCCATGCTTTGCTTTGTCAAACTTGGAACCTGCATGCCTAGAACCTGGAGTGTGGCACATGAAGGTATACATGTTCCAAGTTTCTGGTTTCCACTGTAGTATAATGTGTAATGGACTGCATGTTGTAGTGTCAGCTGTGAGACCATGGCGAGGTTGAAGACGTGCAAAGAAAGCAAGCTTAGCGAGACTTGTAAAGACGAAAGATTCTAAGGCAGGCAAAGCTGGCAAACAGGAGCATTGATCAAGGACGTCTCTGCTCATGGGGGGATGGAGAATGATGGTCTAAGAGTCTAATGTGTCTGAGAGAGACTGTGGAACAAACACAAGAGGCGACGACGATCGGCCGCGGCTTTGCTTATTGGGGTGGTAGAACATGCAAGACAGAGATTGCGGCGAAAGCTCTGCTTATTGGGGGATGGTAGAGTCCTGGTAGAACGCGCAGAGAGAGAGAGAGAGAGTTGTAGGACTGGGAATAAGGCGCATAGGAATTGAGGATGTTTCTGCTTGCTGTGGGGATGGTAGAAGGTATAGGCCCCGGTGGAAGTGTGGAGCAAGTATAGGCGCTTAGTACGATGCGTAAAACAGTGATTGTGGGAGAACTGTAAGAAGCGGATTGGCGATGGCGTTGCTTAGCCGGGGATGAGACGAATAGCAGTCATCCAAGTATAGTATGCTGAGCGAACTGATTCGGTCGAGTGCTGAGCCTGGCGCTGGGCTGGGTATTAAAACAACAGCGGCAATGAATCTGGGAAGCGAGAAGCAAAGTAGATTGCCGTGAAAGGTAGACGCTTGCTTCGGCTGGAAAGGGAAGGTCCTTTCACGAAAGCAGCAGCAACAACGTGCGGCCACCCAAGTTGTCTTACTGCGCCTGGGCCTGCGTAATACTAGTTTGATGTTTCAGAAGAGTCGTAGGCGCGTACTCGAATGTAAGCAGTCGCTTCGTTTGAAGCGTGCATGTGTGAGGATACTGGATTCAGGAAGCGATGATGGACGGAGTGAACTCCTGCAGACTCGAGTTTTCACTTTGGTGTCGGGTGAATCGTACAGAGCGCATGGTGAGAAGCTTTTCGAGTTCTCGAACGGCGCGTGGTCACCAGCCACTCGGGGGTTAAGTGCCGGAGGCTTGGAATGTCTTTCTCATGCTTTGCGATTGGCGCAAGCATACCTGAACGTCTTGTCGCAGCAAGCAGTACCGCGGGATTTCGAGGCGGTGGCTTTTCACATCAAGGCAATGCATTACATTGGGCAAGAGGAGATTCTGCTTCAGTGGCAGCTGCAAGATGTGGTGCCCAGAAAAGTGGAGGAGAGAGCAAAGCACTGGACCCAAGGTCTGGCAGAGTTGTGCAAGATATTAAGGCACCAGTTCAACGAGCACCACAAGACCATCTTGAAGCAGTTCATGAGGTGGTCTGACGAACTGCTGCGGCCACAGGCGGGATTGTGCTTTGCAGACTGCTACCTGAGCAGTGTGGACGGAGTCTTGAGGCAATACAAAAAGGATTTCCGACACAACTGCTATATTTCAATCCCTTGCAGTTTGTCTATCTCGCCGACACTGGAGACACGCAAGCGCTATGCTTCCATATTGTTGTCGAGCTTCGCCGGTGGCTCTGGGTTGCAGGTCCTCCTCGATCAAGCAGCACTTGTGGTGGCAGGAGTGCGGCAGCCAGATGTCATGCATTTCATCGTCGGAGAAGGACATGACGGAAAAAGTTTGATCTTCATAGATCACCTTAAGGCAGTCTTCGGCAGCTCGTTCGGGAATGCTCCAGCATCCATGCTCCAGACAGAGCGTGAGTGGCAGGTGCAAGGTGCCAACTTTCTGCACTCGGCATTCATCTGCTTCGACGAAGCGAAGAGGGACCATCCAGTGATGGAGGAGGTGTTAAAATTGTTCGTGTCAGGAGGGCAGCTGCCGCTGCGGGCCAATCACGCAGCAGACACAAGATACGGGAGTTGGGAACTTTGCGGCAAAGCATGGACGATGAATACGGCAGACGTGCCGTGTTTGCCGTCAGCGCAAGAGCGATCCCATGCTCGTCGTATTCGGTGTACGTATATGCGTTCCCGCTTCGTGCATCTCGAATCGGAAGTAGATGCATCGAAAAGGTTTTTCGCTGCAGACAGATCAACCAAGAACTTTATGTCATCCCCGGAAGCAGTGTGGTGTTGGTACAATGACATGCTCTTCCCGCACTTGAAACGGTACGGCGTGCAAGCGTGCAGTGATCGCCTGGAATCTCCAGCAGCCGATGGCCAGACTGCAGCGGACACCGCATGGCTCTTGAAGCGGATGAGTCGTAGCAGCCGAGCACCGTCCCCCGATGTGTCGGAGGCAGAGGACAGCTGTCAGCCAAGCAGATCGGAGCAGTTGGTGCGGGAGACGCATTCTGCCATTGAGTCGCAGTTCTTCTCAGCTGCTTCTTGGTTGGGATCAATGTGGCATCGTTGCTCGCTGTTACTATATATTGCGTGACACCCTAACGAAGCATGATCGAAGAACCTCTTCGAAACGGTGTAGCAAAGCGGTATAAGTGCCAACCGAGACAAACGCCAATATTTTGTTTGAGGTTCGTAAGTCTTATATTTGTTGCATGCGGGTTCTGGGATTCGGGGCTTTCCTGCTGTTTGTACGTGCAAAGGCGGTGTTCTTAGGAGTTGAAAAAGCTTCGAGCTTTTTGTGGTGGTCTTAGGATGTCGAGAAATGACTCTGTTGCAGCAGCCTTAAGGCGGACGTGAACCGTCTGTCTATTGCTGCGAATCCGGGAAGCACGAAAGGTCATTGCAACAAAAAGTCACGCGTGGGACATCTGAAGGATGCCTTGGCCGACTTTCCCAATTTGGTGCGACAGGTGCAGGGCCAGAAGCGAGGGGGGGTGACTCTTGATCGATTCGAGCGTCGCCAAGTCGACGTGGGCGACTGGGAGAGGCGTGGAGTAGTGCTGCGCAGTATGTTGTTGCACAGCCGTATTGCCAAGTATTTTCAGGCGAGGCGGTTGATGCATAGAGTCTCAAGACTTAGGCGTAAGCTGTTGGACGGTGTGTGTAGATGTATACCCATTGCAGCAGGATGCTGGCCTCCATTGCAGAACCATCCGACACAGCGAAAGTCTTCGGCAGTTGGGCAACATGGTCATGGCCGCCGCCGGCTGAAGCATGGGAGGATCCGGAGTCAGAGGCGCAGGCTTTTCCCAATGGTATGTCTTGGAGCATCGAATGCCACTTGGACCTGCAGAAGCTTGAAGATTATTCTGGGAAGGGCATGGACAGGCGACCAGATCAGCTCCAGGCATTTCTGCGTAAGTGCAAGGAGGAGATGGGCCGCACTGGCAGTGCAAGCAGCCTCGTATGCATGGGCCAGCAGAAACTAGTCTTGGATGACACGTCGTTGGGTCGCGCAATCTTTCCATGGGCCAGCTTGTCCAACCTGACGCGAGAGGCGCGTGCGGCAGCTTCTCCGCCGGAATCCATTGAACTCGACATGCCCAACGCTGTGGTTTTCTTCGCTTTAGAAGTGGCCTCGGAGAATGGATTGGAGCTGCCTGCCTTTCAGCTGTACTATGACAACAAGCATGCTTGGCGACGTGCTGTGGGCAAATGGCTGGATCTCTGCACGATAGATGCAAAAAAGATGTTATTGAGAGCCGTTTTCGGCTTTGCGTATGGCTCCTGCACTCCAACGACGCGAGTACGTGTTTGTCCCCTTTTGGATGCCTTGGCAGCAGATGCCGAATGCCTGAAGTCGCTGATCGCATCCTCGCGGCCAGAGTTGGTGGATGCCATGCACAAGGCCGGCCGCAAGAGGCCACGGACTTCGTCACTGGCCTATACTCTTTTCGATCGTGAGCATGCTTGCCTGCAGCAGCTGGTTGGACTTCTTCCGGAGTTCGGGTATCGGCTGGTAACACCTGTTTTTGACGCTGTGGTCGCAGTTCCCTCGGACACAAGTATCTGTCCAGATCCACTCGTGCAAGAATTTTTCAGACAACGCGGAGTGCAACTGCAAGTCGAAGCTGTGCATGCAGGCGAACCTCGGCAAGGTGTGACGCAGATTGTAAGCAACATGGTAGCCAAGGGGCAGGGCATCACCCTGGACAACATCGTCAGATTGCCGGGGGAGGCCATGTGTGTCCCGATTGCTGTGATGAATTTGTTTCCAGACCATGTGGAGGAAGTTTCCGCTGCATTCCGAAAGCATGACGGTCCCTTTGCGTATCGAGCTGTGATGGAGTTGTGTCCACATGTTCTGCTAGAGCCGATGCCTATAGAGAGCCTGTCAAATGCAAAGGCTGGGTCGACTTGGTTGGTTCATGACCCGCGATGTGTGGATGGGAAGGCGTTGTTTGCAGAGGGCCCCTGCTGGCCAGGTCATTGTTGTGGAGTTCTCGTGGAGGACAAGACGACACTTGTTTACAGCTCCCATCAGGACGAAAGCAGTCAGGTTAGCAAAAGCTTATTTTGCGCGGAATTGGCCAAGATTGACGGGGTGAAAGTGTACAGTGTGAACTGGGCTGACGCAGAACCTGCGCAGAAGCATCGGCGCAAGCTGAGTGGCACGGTCTGCCCGGTGGAGCTAGAGCTCGAAGCAGGCGCAGAGGACATCATCGGGGATGTGTACAAGATGCTCGCGCAGGAAGTGGATTCCGAGATTGCTCGCCGACGCCTTAATTCAGCTTTGAGGTTGAGGTATTACTTCTTCTGAGCTGTGGTCTACGCATGAGGGGAGAGGCGCAGGAGGAGCTGATACAGCAAGGTTGGCACAAGCCGGGGGTTGCGAGGGTTTGTGTTCCGTGTAAATCATTGAGGAGCTTTGGTTTCCATGACCGAGAATGCACGTGCTGTGGGTCCTTGAACGCGACTGTCAGCTCTGTTTAGTGACGGTACAGAAACAAACTGGTAACGGATCCGGATGCAAGTAGTTGGGTTGACTTTGCAAGGAACCTCCTGCAGCATGGTGGAGACTTCCGTGCTTATTGGGGGATGATAGACAAGATGGGAAATGCACTGGCGAGAGAGTGTGAAATAATGATGAGGTGTACAGAAAGATGACGGAAAATCAAGATATGTGGAGGAGGCAGTGTGAGGATCATTGTGATCCGTCATGGAGTGCTCCGGTTCTTGATCGGCCTGGCTAGACGTTAAGACCCATCCTGCTGCGAGGGAGTTGGCAGTTGCGAAGCAGCTACAGCACGGCATTGTGAGACTTTGTTGTGTTGGCTCGGCCAAGGTTTAGTTGGCGGCCAAGGTGGAAAGAACTCCGAGGACTGCTCTTGCCGGTTATGTCCCTTCAGGCGCTTCCAGCGCAGATCGCGCACACTCGATCATGTGCGCAAATACCATGTGCGCTCCAGAGACTACGTTGTCTTGCCACAGCAGTTCAACGTGGCGGTGGCGTTGTATGAGCAGCGTCAGGTGTCTTGTCTGAGGAGAGGTCGATGGTTGTGGATGGAGTCGTTTGTGTTATGATTATTGAGATTTGAAAGCCTGTGCTAGGGTGCCGGGGTGCCGATGGAGGGCAGATAGCAGCAGGTGCCGGGTTTTCGGGTTCTTACTCGGCCTCCCTAGCGTAGGGTCGTCTTGCGGCGGTCTGCACGCAGGGTTTAGGGTTTAGGGGTCAAAGTCATAACCCCAACCGCCCATAGACTCCCCTGCCGTAAGAAATAACACTTCTTCCTTTTCCAGACATGTTGTATATTTCAAACCTTCATCTACGTCTCAGTTTTACTTATTAGGGGAAACCTTGCTTATTGGGGGATATTGTTTCAGTTTTGCTTATTGAGGGATTCCTTGCTTATTGGGGGATATATTTTCAGTTTTGCTTATTGGGGGATATCTTTTCAGTTTTGCTTATTGGAGGATATCTTTGCAGTTTTGCTTATTGGGGGATTCCTTGCTTATTGGGGGATATCTTTTCAGTTTTGCTTATTGGGGGATATCTTTTCAGTTTTGCTTATTGGGGGAAGTGCCCACACTGACATTAGAGTCTAAATTACTATAGTTTAGGGTTTAAGGTTTAGGGAATCGGTTTGGTCGAATGAACTTCACACGAGTCTAGGCATGCTCGGGCAGGGTCGACTGAGCCCCACCGCGTAGTCCGAGGTAAGCACGGTCTTGCTGCAGACAGAGCCTGTGGCTGATTTGCTGGCCACAGCTGCAAGACTCATCCGTACGTGGGTTTGCGTGGACGAGTCCACTTCACGGTTTCTCCAATCGCAAAACCACATCGACCTGGTGCTGTTGTTGACTGCTGTCGGACCACGATACGTGATCAAACAACAAACTGTTCATGCCCAGCGATTGAACAAGGCCGTGTACTACCAGAGCGACTTTGCAAACCTCTTGGTCGCAAAGGCACTGCTTCATCGTGGCAAGGTGCATGCAATCTTTACCGACCTGGCAGCTACATTTGTGGCAGCAGGATGCTTATGTGCATCACTTGGGTGCCGACGGAGAGAAACTCGGACAGAACTTGTCCGAGAGGTGCTCAATTTGCCCTACATGCAAGCGTTTCGCGGGAGGCTGCTAGACTTTGCGACGGCAAGAAAAGAATGGGTAAGCCTGAGCCATGACGCTACCTATCAGGTCCTCTTCAGCTTGATAGGACAGCGAGTCATGCAGCAGCGTGAAGGCGAGGCTCACGCTCTGCACACAATCTTAGGACGCAGTGGTGGTCTTGCAGGGCTGAGCCTGCAGCACACGGAGGGAAGCACGTGCTTCCGTGCGGCCGTAGCAGATGTGCTTCCTTTGTCGGCGCGGCAGTCGGTCCTGTATGTCTTTTCCGATAGTCCTGAGGCCGTTGAGGGCGCAACAGATGTATTGCCTGAGCTCCGTGCCGTGGCCGAGGATGCTCTCCATCTAGTGCTACGTGTAGAAGGCTGCTATGGAGAACGCAGATCGTCCATGTCGTCATTCCTGCTTCGCCTCCAAGGTAAGTTCAAACATCCGGTCGAGGCCGAGCTGTACCATGGAAACAGTGGGAGTCAAACTTCGGTTGCGTGGGAAGGTTCAACGGCCCGCGATTGGGAGGAGGTGACGTCCGAGACATACCTTTCCACACCTTACCAGGATCATGCGGATTATGTTCAGGACCTGCGGAAGTACATAAGCGCCAGTTGTTCGAAGTGTGTGCTGCGTTGACTGACACCGCCTATAGTACAAGTTAGTAGGATGTAGACGTAGGTGGATGCATCGTGGTTGTTGCGCAGGATCTGCGAGCAGTTCGTGAGAAGTATGCCACGGAGATGAAGCGTCGCGACCAGAAAGGTCGTACGGTGGAACAGGTACTTGCGGCAGGAAGCTCATACAAGCACTACCGATACTTGCTGAATGGCTCCATCATTCGACACAAGCTTCGCGCAATGCTTCCTGCCAAAGAGTATGATCTCCTCAGCTGCGGCACATGTGCGAACGAGGCACTTCATTTTCAGCTGAAAGCTGCGGAGGAGGCTGTCGTGCAACAACACCGAGAACAAGCAGCGCTTCACCTGAGTGCTTTCGCTCTGGCAAAGTTATTGGCGCATCACGCGGCAGCGTATTATCCTACGGTGGCGCAACGATCGGAAGCGGAAATCCTCAGTGTGTTGGTAGGGACGATGGCGCAAGGGCAGGGTGTCATTCCAGCGTTTGACGCGGGAGAGATGTCCTCCATCGGCAGCCGCTCTGAGCTGCGTCGCCCCGTTCATCAGCTTGACTTAGACAAGGTTGCGCAAAGGGCAGTGATGGCTGCTACACAAAGCAAGCGTTGGCAAGCGGAGACAGCCATTCGAGAGGAGAAGCGACGCGCTCGTCAGATTCCAGCTCCCAGCAAGGGTCCTCGGAAGCGCACCGTGTTCACGAAGAAAAAGACACTTGGTTGCAGCGTGGCAGTGGAAGAGGACAGGATTGTTTTTGAGGTGTTGTAAGCGCAAAGCTGGCAATTAGTTGTTTTCCTTAAGCAGTGACGCAGTGCCCAGGTGTGCCAAGAGCCAGCACAAGGTGACGCGGCATCGGCGTGGGCAGGACCGTTGGTTGTGGACGTGAAATGTGCGCCGAACGGTGTAACTGAAAAACATCGTTGCCAGCAGGACCTGTCTGCTGAATCAGATCATGCGTGCGGATCTTGAGATTCCCACTATGTGTGGAGGCCCTGGGGGAAAGGTTTGGCAAGGCTCCTAGAACGACAGGGATTGTGGGGCAAGCGTGAGAGGTCACCCATGTTAGGGCAGACATAGACGAGCACGATCAAGGATGTCTCTGCTTATTGGGGGATAGCGGAATCGTGGTAATATGGGTAAGCCAGCGATTGTGGGACAAACACAAGAGTCGCCGGAGGCGAAGAGGGTCGTCGCTGGCCCTGCTTAATCGGGGTGTAAGATCGTACAATATTGTGCTTGCGGAATTGAGACAGGAGTACGAGACCGGGAGGCTTGGGGATAGCCTTGCTTATTGGGGGTTCTTGGGTTTCCTGTCAGGGAAAAGCAGGATTCGGGATGTCGCTGCTTCTTGGGGGATGCTGGAACGTGGAAGGGACAAGCGGGACAAACGTAAGAGGCGAGGAGGCTTGTTGATGGTTGAGGTTCTTGTCCGGGATGGTCAAAATCATCGCAGAGTGTAAGAGTGTGATTGCAGGTTTTTTGTGTAAGAAGCGGCTAGGACTGGCGATGGCTCTGCTTATTGGGGGATGAGCAGGATTGCAGTGATCCACATAGTTTGGTGAGCCAACAGACAGATTCGGTCGTTTGCCGAGTTTGGCCCTGGAGGAGAGGGAATAGCGAAGGCAGATCTTGCTTCTTTTGTCTCCCGCGGATTCCATACTTCATATTGAAACAGTGTAGTGCACGTTGGGAAGAAATCAAGAGAAGCCGCTTCGGAACATCGTTGGCAGGAGAAACGGTGCTCTGATGCGCATTCCCCGCAAGAAGCTCCGTGTGGTGACAGGTCCCTGGCAGTGTTGCGATTCGAAGCCGTACAGGTTTAGTGTTGGTGGGTGTAGCATGTGAGGTTTCACAAAAGGGGGGGGCCGAGGGAATTAAGGTATTGAAACGGGAATTATAATGTTTTCGGTGTTAAAATCTGTCAAAGCGAGTTTAGCTTTTGTTCTATTTATTGGGTTTTTCTGACATTGTGCGTCTGCGCACTGAAAACAAGCCTTTGTGTCAAATATTGCGCTCTGTTCTGCTATTTAGGTGCAAATTTCAGGGGTAAATATAACTATCACTTGAGGAAACTTCGATACCAGCTCTTGCATGTGTGTGTGTGTTCGTGTTTTTGTGTTTCCCGGCCTGACCACAGATAAGCTTGCGCTATGCAGAGGCTAGGCAGGGTCCCCCCGCAGTATGGCCGGTTTCTTGTGTCAACGTGTGTCCTCTTGCTTGATACCTCGCCGTCGGCACAAGCACGCTCGGTGGTCATGGGGGTTTAAAGTCTTACCTCTTTAAGTGTTTAAGGGCCACGGCGTAGGATCAAGCGGCTCAAGGTATAAGTAGGGCTCAAATGCTTAAGTGTCAAGCTTTTACGGGATTCGTTGCTTAAGGCCATCGTTGTGCCGTCTACGTACCGTCTGCATGTGACATGTTGCATAGTGATAAGCAAATTAGGGGAGTCAGCATTTAAGGGCTTAGGCTTAAGAGTTTCGGAAAGTGTTGGGTTTGAGGGCTCAGGGTCATGTCCGAATCCCCGGCCCAGGCTGCAATTTCGACATCGTCAGACTGTCTGCAGACCGTCAAAAAGCGCATGCTATTGCTTGCTGCACGTTTCAGTGCAGCGCTACCGCAAAAGGGCAGGGAGGGGGGGGAGGGCTGTGCGGTGGATGCCTGTCCCCATAGGGAAAAATGGCGAGAGCTAATTACCGCAGGGGGTTGCCAGTATCTATTTCTTGTTGTTTAAAGGATACCCCTCTCTGCCCCCCAACCTGCGGCAGCTCTCACCATCCCCAAGCTTTGCCCACCCACCCACCAAACGCAGCGTCTATTTTTAGTCTCCCCGCCCACCCCCGTTTCCATCCCCCGCAGCTCGCGATTTTGTAAGTTCAACATAATAGTTCATAGTATTTATCTGCTCGCCGCAGGCGGAAAAAATTTTCGTTGGGACAACACAACCAGCCAGGGGTAAGATTAATTCAATATTTATCTGCGCGCCGCATGCGGAAAATTTTTTCGTTGGGACAACACAACCAGCCAGGGGTAAGATTAATTCAATATTTATCTGCGCGCCGCACGCGGAAAAATTTTTCGTTGGGACAACACAACCAGCCAGGGGTAAGATTAATTCAGTCTTTATCTGTGCGCCGCAGGCGGAAAATTTTTTTCGTTGGGACAACACAACCAGCCAGGGGTAAGATTAACTCACAATTGGAGTCAAAATCCTTAATTCCCTGGTCCAAACCCTTAATTCCCGCTCAAAAACCTTAATTCCCGGTTCAGAAATTTACTTCCTCGGTCCAAACCCTTAATTCCCGCTCAAAATCCTTAATTCCCGGTTCAAAACCTTAATTCCCGGTTCAAAACCTTAATTCCCGGTTCAAAACCTTAATTCTCGGTTCAAAACCTTAATTCCCGCTTCAAACCCTTAATTCCCGGTTCAAAACCTTAATTCCCGGTTCAAAACCTTAATTCCCGGTTCAAAACCGGGCCGCGGGAATTAAGGTTTGGGATGTTTCCTGGTTGCAACTTTTGGCTTGGATTCCACTCAAAATCAGCTTTTTTTGATTTTATGATCCAAAAAAACAATGATTTTTTTGATCGCAAAATCAAAAAAAGCTGATTTTGAGTGGAATCCAAGCCAAAAGTTGCAACCAGGAAACATCCCAAACCTTAATTCCCGCGGCCCGGGGAATTAAGGGTTTTGACGGGGAATTAAGGTTTTGAACCGGGAATTAAGGTTTTGAACCGGGAATTAAGGTTTTGAACCGGGAATTAAGGGTTTGAAGCGGGAATTAAGGTTTTGAACCGAGAATTAAGGTTTTGAACCGGGAATTAAGGTTTTGAACCGGGAATTAAGGGTTTGGACCGAGGAAGTAAATTTCTGAACCGGGAATTAAGGTTTTTGAGCGGGAATTAAGGGTTTGGACCAGGGAATTAAGGATTTTGACTCCAATTGTGAGTTAATCTTACCCCTGGCTGGTTGTGTTGTCCCAACGAAAAAAATTTTCCGCCTGCGGCGCACAGATAAAGACTGAATTAATCTTACCCCTGGCTGGTTGTGTTGTCCCAACGAAAAAATTTTCCGCCTGCGGCGCGCAGATATATACTGAATGAATCTTACCCCTGGCTGGTTCAGATAAATACTATGAACTCTTATTTTGAACTTACAAAATCGCGAGCTGCGGGGGATGGAAAGGGGGGTGGGCGGGGAGACTAACAATAGACGCTGCGTTTGGTGGGTGGGTGGGCAAAGCTTGGGGATGGTGAGAGCTGCCGCAGGTTGGGGGGCAGAGAGGGGTATCCTTTAAACAACAAGAAATAGATGCTGGCAACCCCCTGCGGTAGCTCTTGCCATTTTTCCCTATGGGGACAGGCATCCACCGCACAGCCCTCCCCCCCTCCCTGCCCTTTTGCGGTAGCGCTGCACTGAAACGTGCAGCAAGCAATAGCATGCGCTTTTTGACGGTCTGCAGACAGTCTGACGATGTCGAAATTGCAGCCTGGGCCGGGGATTCGGACATGACCCTGAGCCGGAGCCCTCAAACCCAACACTTTCCGAAACTCTTAAGCCTAAGCCCTTATAATGCTGACTCCCCTATTTTGCCTATCACTTGCAACATGTCACATGCAGGCGGTACGTAGACGGCACAACGATGGCCTTAAGCAACGAATCCCGTAAAGCTTGACACTTAAGCGTTTGAGCCCTACCTATACCTTGAGCCGCTTGATCCTACGCCGTGGCCCTTAAACACTTAAAGAGCTAAGACTTTAAACCCCCATGACCCCCGAGTGTGCTTGTGCCGACGGCGAGGTGTCAATCAAGAGGACAAACGTTGACACAAGAAACCGGCCATACTGCGGGTGGACCCTCCCTAGCCTCTGCATAGCGCAAGCTTATCTGTGGTCAGGCCGGGAAACACAAAAACACGAACACACACACACACACATGCAAGAGCTGGCAGCCGGCATCCAAGTTTCCTCAAGTGATAGTTATATTTACCCCTGAAATTTGCACCTAAATAGCAGAACAGAGCGCAATATTTGACACAAAGGCTTGTTTTCAGTGCGCAGACGCACAATGTCAGAAAAAACCAATAAATAGAAAAAAGCTAAACTCGCTTTGACAGATTTCAACACCGAAAACATTATAATTCCCGTTTCAAAACCTTAATTCCCTCGGCCCCCCCTTTTGTCACCTCACACCTGGAACCCAGAATGCTGAGAAATCACGTGCAGATTTCGCCTTGTTTGGACTTGAAATGTTATCAACGGATTGAAATGACAGAACGCATTTCGAAAACCGATTCGGCGCAGTTCAAGTCCTTAATTCCCGAAGTTCGATTACAGACCCCTTTTGTGAAACTTCACAGTGTAGCACCCGTGCAACAGAGGGAGCAGAAACTTGAGAAGCTTCCAGTGTTTAAGAAGATCGCCCGGGAAGTGTAGCAGTGTCTCCGCACAGACCCTTTGCCCCGAGTCGCATGTGCTTCAGGCAAATGTGTCCTCAAAAGCCCAACAGGCGGGAAAGCCGGCCATCCTGATCCCTCCGAGGGAGGCGGATCAGTCTGGTGTGGCGGTGTCAGAGTTGAGAAATCGCAAGTGTTTCAGTTTACGTACTGGAGTCCAGGTCGGCGCAACTTTGAATGAAACATGGATACACACAGACGTGCATACATTACATAGCTGCAGCAGTCTGAAGAACCTGCGGGTTAGTCTTGGACCCGATTTGGTCCGCCAAGCCGCTGACACTGTCCTGCCTTTCCGATACATGCATGCTCTCT